GGGAAAGAAAGAAGGGAGGCCTCCAGATCTGGGACTTGAACTGTAGTTGGCCCTGTGGGAATGCAGTACCTTTAACCACCATGCCAACTGCCAGCCCCGGATGACTGTTCATTTTTTCAAGTGTGACAATGATAAAGTGGACATGCTGTTGTACAGTTCTGCGAGCCACTTTCCGGATCCCCACGTCCGATTCTGCATTCCAGCGTCTCATGATGGAGAGCTGGGGACCAGGCACCTCACCCAGACCCCCTGTGTATCGGGAACTTCTAGAGCGCTGCGGACACAACCTGCGAATGGGGGCTTAAATGAGGTACTATTTCTAGAGCACTTCAATGAATGCTTGGCAAATGGGCAAATGGTAAGCACTGTGTGTGTGTGTGTGTGTGTGTGTGTGTGTGTGTGTATGTGTGTGTACTAAACGTAAAGCAAATACTAAATACATTCTAAACTTTAAAACACTTTGATCAAACGTTCCAGGTTGGGGTGGCCTTTCTGGCTCCCGAGGCCTTAAGATCTGCCCCCAGGAGCTCACAGTCTCACGGGGAGGCCAGTCTGTAACAACACCGCTGACTCGGGCTGCTGAGAAGTGTTGAGGAAGGCAGCGGACCCTGGTGCTGCTAGGGTCCCTAACCCGTGGGTGGGGCGGGGAGGGTGGGCAGCGGCTGTGAGGCTCAGAACAGGGGTAGGACAGGGTCTGACGGAAACATGGATTGGAGCCAGGCCACAGTGGGACAGGAGAACTCGTGGTGCTGAGCGCTACACCCGGCCTCGCCCCTGCGGAGCGGGGGTGTTTATGTCACAAGGGGCGGCTCCCAGTGTGGCCGCGCGGGCAGGGCAGCGGGCCCCTCGCCCCTTCTGCCCCTTCCTGGAGCCTCAGCGGGCGCCGCCAGGTCCGCCTAGTGGCGGGTCGCAGGGAGGGTCTGCGGGCCGGGAGCCCCCGCTTTCTTCCTGGGCTGAATTCCATTCTGGACTCCACCTCCTGACCCCCCTATTTCTCCCAGAGCCGGGGTCGACCCTGAAGCAGCGAACGGTCTAGAGGGACAAGCGTCCCCCACCCCCCAGGCTAGCCTGACCTCTCCCGAGCAGCGGGCGGAGGAGGAGCCAGCGCGGGGCCAGGGCAGGGGCGGTGCGCCGGGCCGGGGGCTGGGGG